AGATGTAGCAATCCTCGCGGTGCACAAGCTGAGATGACCTGCACCTGAATCCTCCTTATCATTAGCTGGGCCGAGGGGAAGCATAATTAGCATATTTAATTTATGCGACGGTAATTAGCCAATCGGAAATCAAGGTTGTTAATACGTCAGGCACCACGAAATCGTGGCGCCTGCACTCGAAATGCTCACTGTTTTCCCAGTCCCTAATCACAGAAAAAGTATACTATGGAACGCCATGCAATAAGTAATATGGAACGCCATTTGTGCCAAAATCGATTTATTCTTAAGCATTTCAACTGATTAAGACAAAGATTAGGGACTTTTTTGGGTTTTTACACTAAGCCTGTTATCAATTCCCCACTACGAAGTGGAGTAGCCCAGGAAAATAATCCCAATGCGTGGCCAACTATGGGATTAAACTGCCTTTAATCGCATCGCGTGGTCCACTCGTATACGCGTTGCTTTATTTTGCGAGGCTCCCTTATTTAAACCTGCAATGGAAGTAAATTTGGCTGAATTAGGCCCATATCGGCCGCAATATATAGCGGCCGCCCTCCAGAACGTCCGCCAATGCGTATATATGTATGGAATGCCGATGACGCATTCACAATGCAGTACATTGTAGTTAAATGGTTTGGAATAAGCCTACAGTAGGTCAAGTAGGTTTGGCATAGGCCTAGGTCAAGTCAGTTTAGAATGGTTTAGGACCGGTTTGGCCGTGAAAAAGTTCGGAGGAGATATATTTGTATGGAACACCAAGTAGGCCTAGGCGCAAAGCTATTGCTGAGCACTACAGACTCAGTATCCATTATTTCGTGTTTTATTGTTAAGTCTTTTTATGTTGCCAAATAATTAATGTGGCATTATTATGCTGCCATTAGTTTGCCAAAATAACAGTGGATTTTATTAGGTTTTGTGTAAGTCCCGTATAAGTTAATAATTAGTTATTTAGATGGCATATATTTCGTTTTATCTATTTGAAACAAACGAATTTATATGTTGATAATCAAACCAACGGATTTTATTATTTTCATATTACAGTGTCGATGCATATATTGAAGAAGAGAAAGAAGAAGAATGTTAATAATATTAATATACTGCCAAATTATATTTTTCGTAATATAATATTAAAGCTTACATTAATTGATGCTTTATGTTTCGTTGTATATTATGTCTAGGCCTATACGTTCTTAAATGATTGATTGATTTTGAAGCAGAAAGTATATAAACGCCACAAAAATTCACATTATTTATGCCCCATCCGGCAGTCAAAATTTCCGACCGACGCTGACAGTCTGCCGACCTGCATTGCTTTTTTTCAATGATTCTGTGTATTATTTTAGAAAAAAAAAATCAGTGGATTTTTATTATATTTTTCGTAATATTATTAAAGTTTACAGTATTTGATGCTTTATGTTTCATTGTATATTATGTCTAGGCCTATACGTTCTTAAATGATTGAATGATTGATTTGAAGCACGAAAAAACACGAAATACATCGCCCTAAAATCCAGAAATTTAGCTGTAAACGCCCTTCATAGAGAAGATAACAATAGAAATAAACGTCTCCGTGGTTACGCTTGTATTAGATAGGGCAAAACATGCCCATTCGTGCAGAACGAGTATGCAGTGTCTGCCGATTGATGAATAACCTAATGCGAATTCACCAACTGATTAAAAGTTCAACCTGGTTTAACAAGCAATAATACGGTTATAACACACAACAGAGGTTAATGATCATAATCAATGTCTGTATTAGGATTATGTAAAATAATTAATAGACAAACAAACAACACGTCGTATAGGCCATGGCCACAGACCCTACATTATAGGGTCTGTATAGGCGAACAACTCGGGTAACAACCACATTCCTGAACCATTGCACATGTTCATACAGTTTCCATGTACAGAGATCAAGCCAGTCGGCTATTTTCAGCATTTGACATTCTTTCATTGTCTCCGATGACATTCCTGAATTGGCGGCGTACAAAGACTTCGTTTCCGATAACATTCTTGAATTTGCGGCGTACAAAACTTTCTTATTCTCCCAAGAGTATCATTGGACCCTACTTGTGAGAACGTTTCTCACTGAATTAATTGTTACTAGGCAACTTAGTACTGGCAAATTGATACCTATTTAAAGCAATGTATTTCCATTCATGCCTAGATTTAATTATTAATTAATTATTTAAATACGGTCACCAATCAATCACTTGTACCTGGAACGTATAATCGTCTTACAATAAGTACGCTTGCTTATAATTATAATGCAGGATTAATTAATTATATTATATACTTTATTCTAAGATACAAATCAGGTTTCTTGATAAGTTACAGCTATAGTTAAATTAAATTTCTTCTATTAGAGCAATAACAACTTAGAATATTTTGCAGGATAAAATAAACACTTCTTAACTAAAAATTATGCTAAACTACTTCGTAAAACAATCAATCTTAATAAAAAAGTATTTCGCCATACGTTCTTTCAAGAACATAATAAAGTCTTGTATTGTGAACTGGCATAGGGCCTATTCTATTTTTTTTAGTAAATGTTTTCTCATACACGATTTCTAACAAAATGTTTTAGTTACACAACTACTGGAGTAGGGATTTACCAACTCACTCTGGCTAGACAATGAACATGCTTGGTTCATCAGATAAGACAAAAGATATCAGTTAGCGTCTCCGTGGTAACGTTAACTTTTAACCCTACTAGTATTGTTGCTTTTTATTGAGTAACAAATGATTGAATCGATAGCATGAATCATGTACATATTTTGAGTATAAATAATTAAGAAACGAATATCATATGTATGAACTTTAGAAACACTTCAGTGGAGGAAACCAATTTTCAACCTATTCTTATATAAATTATATATGGATACATATTTAAATATATGTGGCCTATATATAAATCATGATATAATATATATAAATCAT